AAGCTTTCCTTAGTCCTATAAATTGCCCCCCGCCCGTTCTAACTGTCAGTATCTTACAGCAAGGGTCAGCCCGCTGCTTGTTTTCCCACCAGTTCCTACCCCCTCCCAAGGCTCATATTTAATCTCTGATCTGCAAGCAAGAACTGCAGGCAGGGAGAGCCCGCCCCCAGTGGCTGCAGTGAGAAGTAATTGCAGGCAGGAGTGGGGTTCAGCCCTGTGGGGCGCTGAAACTTGTCGTCGGTGTCACACCCTGTCCTGCTGATCCCCACTGGGCTGCAGCTCGCAGAAGTGAGCAGCCTCCCAGCTTGTAGCATTTTTTTCTGCTTGTTAATAGGGAGGATTTTTCACCTTCCCCCACTATTGATTTTAAAGGACTTTTCCTCCCCTGCAAAGCATGTGTCTTGTTTAGAAGATCATTTAATTCACTCTTTAATCAAAGACGGAAGACACCAGAGTATTGGTGCCTGACATCTGTGGCTGTATAGGAAACCAAGCCATGCTCCAGGGATGTCTACATCGATGTGGCTAATCCACCACAATGCCACTTGGTAAACCAGCTACCCTGGGGAAATGCTAGCCAGGATGCAGATGGGCTTAGAGGAGCATTGCCCTGGCCACTGACCAGTTGGGTGGATCCTATCTCTTTCTTGTGCCTTGGTTTCCCTACTGACTTTTTTTTTTTGGTCTATTTAAATTATAAGTACTCACCCTGCCTGGCTATCTGGAGGTTTGTGTGTATACAGAGGAGGGGCCTTGGTCTTTGCAGGCCTTACTGGTGCTCTCCTAATAAGGATAATGGGTGCACAGTGGTTAGAAACCAGAACAGGTCAAATATTGTTTAAAGCATGTATATCTCAGGAGCTCATCGTTTAGCTGCATTAGCAGCATCACCAAACCAGACAGACACCACTGTGCATCCACTGAGGCTTGCGAGGAAGCTGCGTTTTAGACAGTAGCTGAGAACTTAAAGATTAAAAAAAAAAAAAGTTCTAAAATCCCAAACTATTATCCCCAAAGCTCCTCTTAAACAGGGAGAGTAGTGACAGGCTTATTGACTGTTCTCCAGTTCTTCAAGCCCTGCTTTTTGGTGATCCGCGGTCCATCATGCAGTCAGTCCTGAACATACACATCCTGCAGCTCTCATGGCCCCTGAATGCCATGTCACTATTGAAGGGGAGGAGAAGGAAGGAAAAGTGCAGTTGTGCTAGTACTGCTCGTACAAAGGACTCCAGGTCCAGTGGAGTTTAAGGCACCATGTGCTGATACCTGGTCAGCTGGAGAGGCAGGAGGGGGAAAAAAAGCAGGGAGCAATATGCCCATCAGACCATCCCAGCTGAAATTCTTACACCTGAACTTTCCAGTCTGAAAAACGTTCATCTGGAATAAAATTTGTGTTCAGGATGGAGCAGCTGTTCCAAGCACCGGTTTCAAACAATTTTTGTGGGAAAAAAGCCTCAGCGAATGCCTGATATAACCCAGTTTTGCACTGAGAGTGATGTGCCGGTAGGGCCAGCACACAGCACAGGCCATTTGCTTTACTGTTCTCAGGTGTATCATTGTAGGCAAGTGTGTAGGGTCCTCAATAACACCGCAGCACGCTTCAGCATCTTGCTTTCACAATGAATCTGTCTCCCATGCTGTCCCTTATGGTGCATCACTCCTGAGCGAGGCTTCCATGCACCAGTGCTCCCCGGGGAGCAGGCACGGGCAGAGCCGATGCGCTTAGCTGAAGCCGAGGATAGATTCTTCCTTTGGACTGAGATCACCGGCTCGTGTTTGCTATGTGGAAAGGGAAAAACGTCATGTGCTTTTAGATGAACTGGGTCAGGGAGGGAGGGATGCGACCTGATGGATGCAATCTGAAATTAGCTCCCACACACACACACACACCGAGCTGTGAAGTCCGGCAGGGAGCTGGCCCTTGCAATGGCCACAGCAGCACCTAAAAGCAGCTGGAGCTGAGCAGGGAATAGATTGGCTCCTTCTCTGGGTGTGCGGGGGTTTGGCAGCTCTGCCAAACCCAGTCTGAGCTAAATGATCCCTCCCCTGCCTGAGCGGACCCCCTTAACTGAAGGGGAAGCATCAGAAAGGTGAATTAAAAGATACAGCCGCCAACAGACAAGACGCTGTTTCTGTGGATTCTGCCAAGTCTCTCAGAGACAAATTGTTCCTTGCAGCAAGGCTGGAAACAAGGTCATTCATAAAAGAGTAATTGATGTCTGGCCGGTGACAGCCCTCCACGGGGCTGATGTGGCTGGCCCCTGTTAACTGAAGGGGAAGCATCAGAAAGGTGAATTAAAAGATACAGCCGCCAACAGACAAGACGCTGTTTCTGTGGATTCTGCCAAGTCTCTCAGAGACAAATTGTTCCTTGCAGCAAGGCTGGAAACAAGGTCATTCATAAAAGAGTAATTGATGTCTGGCCGGTGACAGCCCTCCACGGGGCTGATGTGGCTGGCCCCTGCAAAGGGAGCAGTCTGGGAGATGGTGAACCAGCCTCGACCCTTCCACATTTTGTATGCAAACTACACATTGCCTTTTTCTTTTTTCCTCCAAATGTCTTCTAATGTAATTAGAAAGTGGCTCTTCCAAAAGCCTTTTGGCTGGGAAGGGAAAAAGCAGCCTATAATTCATTTATAAGATGTTCTCGGAGCCATGTAATTTCTCCACGCTGGCTGGGTGGAGGGGGAGCTTCCCAAGGGGCTGCATCTTGGTATTCCCAGAAAAGCTAGACAGAAACAAAGGGAGAGCCGATGCTGGAGGTGAAGGACTGAGATGTGGGGTGGAGCTGAGGAAGGAAGATGAGAAGAAGGATTTTAATCTGCTGGGGTTTCTGGCCCCAGAGAGGTGTTGTAAGTGCTGGAGCTGGTGGGGGAAGGAAGGGAGAGCACAGGGGGAGAAATCTGGGTGGTGCCCTGGCACACTGCTGTTCCCATTCTCCAGGTTCACGGTGGGTCCTCTCAATCAAACCCTTACTGGAACGATGTGTGGAAGAGCTTTCACATTGCTATGAGTGCTGGTTTTTTTCATCTGCCATAATTTTCTCTTTTTGTTCTTGTCTTTGATTTTGATGAAAACATTGACTTTGTTATGCTATTTGTTTGGAGGGGAAGTTGTTGGAGGAGGTGCAAAAGGCAGGGTCCGGTCCTTGTGAGGAGCAGCCTGAAGTGCCCGTGTAACCTCACCTCTTCTCTGCTCCAATTCGTGCTGTACCTGCAGGGGTTGAACCGCCCACCCCGCCTGGGGTTGGGCTTGTCCTGCCGTGCTTTGGTCTGTGGCGTCTCACCCTGCGTGCTCTTCCCCATCTTCGCTACTTGTATCCCCCTTCTCACGACAGCATTTGATCAGACTTTCCTCTCCTTTAGGGTCCCATTTCTCCCGTTATCCCATTTCAGCTCCTGGCAAGGCAGCAAGTGATCTCACCACCTATATGGCCAGCCAGCTGCCAAAAAAATAAAAGAAAAGCAGAGATCAGACATACATAATTTAAGGTTTTTCGTAAGAGCCGTACCAGAGTTTTCCCAAGTGTCTTTTGCAGAGCCTGAAACAAGGCAACCGTGAATGAGGGGGGAAATGCCAACGGCAGTCTTGCTCCTGGAGCAAAGCCCCGGGGCAGGGCATCGTCCTGCCGTGAGCAGGGAAACACAGCAAGCAGCAGATGGACAAGAACCAGAAAAAGGCAGTTTTTTGGCTTATTCATGTTCGTTTCCAGGATTTAAAGTAACACTTTTTCCTTTCTCGCTGCATATGGGGAAGTTTGGGGCTTTTTTTTAAAAAAACAACCAACATACTTTTTAAGCAAAAGTTTTGTGACGAAGCAGAATTGGTGGCAGCAATGCCTTTCTTCCTCTTCTTAAGTTTGAATTTGGTAAACTTTCATGAAAGATTTAATTTTTTTAAAGTGATTTCAGCTATATCATACTATTAAAACAGTCATAGAAAAAAATTAGAATCTAAAATAAGCTGCAGTCAGTTGGGTAATTTTCCCCCACTACATAACTTTGTGTTGAAAGAGGGACAGCTTCACGGAAAAACTTGTAAGGGCAATAATTTTTAACTGGTGCTTATTCATCATCTTTTGCCATTCCAAGATTAAGCTGTGGATTCGTATTTGAAGGCCCATTTGGCCTTGAAATGCTTTACAGGCACTTTTTTCCTTCCTTTATAATTTTTTTTTTAAAATGTGAACAAGATCCTTTGGTCCAGCTGTCACAACAGGCAAGAGCTGTTTACATCAGGGGTTTTTTTTGGGATCAGATTTGTTCAAATAAAGAGACAACGCATCTAACTTCCAGCTCTGCAAGCCTAGGGAAGAAGACAAAAGTCAAGTTGCCTCCTGCGTCGTTGCCGTTATTGTTTAGACACTTCAGGGTCAGCTGCTGGCCTTGCTTATATTTCTGTTCTCCTTTTGTCTAACTAGGATGGCGCTGGTTTAAGGAAGGCAGCTTGGCCGTGCAGCTGCCACTTTGTTAACAGGGTAAAGTCCAGCTCCATTTCCAGAGCAGGTTGCTCTCCGTGTCGGTTACTTGCTTCTTTATGGACTATTCGTGTGGGTTTTCACCTCTTCGAAACCAATAACTGAGTTTTAAATCCAGGGGATTGAATCCTGTGAGTAAGGAGATGCTATTCTGGGGCACAGTCCTGCTGCAGAAGAGGAGCATACTGTAAATATAATGTTTTTCTCTCCCTTTTTTTTTTTCCCCAAAGGGAATTTGGGCAGAATAGGTTAACCGCTCCACAGGTTGCCAGGTGCTTTTTTGGTCAACCCCTTCAAATTGCCACAGTGTAATCAGAGGGCTCCTGACAGAGAATCAGATTATTGTCCATCTAATTTCTTTTAAGTAACCAGCATTATAAGGGATATTAAAAGAAAGGGATGTTTAGCTCTAACTAACTAAACTTGCTCAAACAAGCATATTAAAGACATCCCGATGGTATTTTCAAATGGATATTTTTCTCCCTATGCTGTAACTGATGGGATTTTTCCTCTTTATCCTCAGGGATTTTTCTGTTTTGCTCTGGCCTTCTACGGATTGATCCCAGCTGCCTGCTGGAGATACACGCACAGCACAGAGGTAAGCATCGGCTGCTAGGAAATACCACCAGCATCTCATCAGATAGAGATTTTATTTTTTTGTAGCAACTATTTCTCCCATAAAAGGGACATCTGGTGGTAATTAAGCTGTCCATGCCGAGGTCTATCAGATGCATGCTCTGTCCCATCCGTCCTTTGCAAAAGCGGGGCCGCCTTCATCAGCTGCCTCTCCAAAGGGGTCATCTGAAGGGAGAAGCCATGGAAACCCTCACGCAGGACAAACGCTTTGTCCTGAAGGCAAAACAAAATGCAAGTCTTGTTTTAAATAGCTTTGGGATTTTTTTTATTTTTTTTTGCAGGGGATGTTTTGTTTTGTTTGTTTTAAATGAGATGCTTGACTTTTCAAAACTCATTTCCAGCCAGCTCTAATTCCTGCTAACATCAGTTGGGAGCCTCTATTCAAAGGTGGTGGCAGGTTGGGACTGTTCAGGTTGTCTCTGGCAACAGCCAGGAGAAACGCCAAGGAGATGTGTTTATTAACAGGCAGCAGTGGTACAGTAAAAACGCTAGGGTGAAAAATGGTGGTTTGGGTCGCTGTCATGCTGGACCAGAAAGAGATTGCATGCGGTCAAATTTGCAAGAAAGCTGGGGCTTGAATTGTTAGCCCAGAGCTTGTTGGTGCTGTGGTAGATGGATGGTGTGGGAGATGCAAGGTGCTGGGGAGGTCGAGTCAAGGCATACAAAGTTGCTAAGGGACAGCCCTGCACATCGCAGTGGGTACCCTTACCCCACGTCTGGGATGCCCCTGGGGCCAGGTCGCTGGGGAAAGCAGCAATTGAACTTAATATTTAGTAGCCTAAAGAAGTTTAGACTTCTTTTTAACCCTTTCCTAATCTGACATAATTTGCTTTTTGTATATTTATTCCTCTTCACATTCAGAGGAATTTGTTGCTGTTCAGTCCTTCCTGCATCCCTGCACTCATGTAAGAGATTTAGGAGTGTAAAAAAAATCATTACTTCTTTTTTTTGAAAGCAGAGCACTTATATCTTAGGCAAGTATCCAAATTATCTGACAGTAATTCAGATAAGTGCTTGGGACTTTGATAGATGTTTCATGCAGAGGGCCAGTCCCCATCTCTGTTTTCCTCCTCCCCAGCCCCAGGCACGTGCCACAACCTGCAATGTTCTGGCCAGCAATGAGGGTATGAGTGATGTGAAACATCATCCCGATGGATTAGGGTGGCATTGATGCTGCCAGCTCATCTCTTTAGGGTTACAGATGGTGTGGGGGCTCAAAGACCAGTGTGTCAGAAGGCTGGCCATGAGATTTCATTCTGTGCAATTCCATCAAAACCCCAGAGACTCAACCCATGGTGGCTGATCATCTTAGAGGTCTTTTCCAGCCTTAAGATTCTATGATTCTATGCCAGGACAATTGCACTTCTTGTGGACAAGAAGCTCTGTCCTATAATGGTTCAGTGTCCTGTGCAAAAATTAAAATCCAGTCCTTCTGGAAGCAGAAGTCTAAAAGGCAAAGTCAAGGTTAAGGTGAGGGGTAAGGTTCTGCTTCTCTAGAAAGTTTGTCCAGAGCTGACCAGTGGCCACAGTAGTTGAAAATCCTTCAAAACGCACAGATGGCTACACTGGATCAGACCAAAGGTCCCTGCTCTCAGACAGGCACACCCACTGTTGGCCAAGGTAGGAGCATAAAAACCCAACAAGCACAAAGCAATGCTTTTTCAGATGCCAACAGCTTGTGGCTCAGGCCCCTGCTGGTGGGACCTGCTGGTGCCTTTGCCTTTAATACTCTCAGTGGTTTTTTCCACCTTGAATTTGTCCAGCTGCTTGGAAACATTAGGGTGAGTGCTGAGGGTACAGCACCTTTTATCTCTACACTTAGCTGGCTGAAGCAGATTCAATCATCAGAGCTGAGACATCCATGAAAAAGAGTCTTTCCGCAGCCTCTCTATGTATTTTCCCTGGTTTCAGGCAAAACATTCCAAATTTGTTATATTCACACTGGAAATATGGAAATAATTTTGGTTTCACGTCCAATACAGAAGGGAGGCCTTGAGCACGCTTTCCTCCTTCTGCAGACGTTTAGAATGAGAGATTGAAACAAAAGCTGTGATTGATAGAAAAGGAAAAATGGCAACAGAAAGTTTGTCTGGTTGGTCTTGTGAAATTGCATTATCCAAATATACTGTTTAGTTATACTTTTTAATCCACAAACATGGAGAAGGGTGTAAAAAGGCTGCAAGAAAAAGTTGTATATTGGGTAAATACAGGGATGTGCCTGTCAAAACTTATTCTGCTGAAAATATTTAAAGAATTACTTTCTCCTTGTATCTCTTAATCACTACATCGGGTTGTACTTCAAATTATTTTCCTGGTTTTTTGCTTTGAGTGCCCTGCCCATAAATGCACCCATGTGTTATGGTTAGCTTTAGTAGTTGGTTGGGTTTCTTTAAGCGAAACAGTTTCCACTAGGCAAAATGAGGGGGTTTTGTAAAATGTTTACTTTCTGGGTAAAGTCTTTCTGAAGACAGAAAAATTAAAACACCATTAGAGATCATCTTGGGTTTCTCTGCCTCCTAAAATGCGAAGAGACACAGAATATAAATGAGGAAAGATTTAATTAGGAGTGTCACTTACAAAACATATGGAAATTTTGTTTTGCTTGAAACGTAACCTGTCTCACCAGTGAGAAAAATGCAGATGTGAAAGAGAAATACAGATGTGAGAGAGAAATGCAGATGTGACTGCCCCTCCAGGACGGAAAGACAGGTAGTGCAGTGGCACAGAAAACCAAATGGAGCAGGGGGAAGACTCATGAAGTCTTATTATAGAGCCATTTGTTTGACTTTCTCAAAGTAAAGAGCAAAATTAAAAATGGTGTCCTCCCCAGGCTACTGCATGTTGGTACTCTCAGAAATAGTTAGTTGTGGTGATATGGGGGGAAAAATTCCTACCAAGAAAGGAAAAGAATTTGGGGATGTAAAACTGAATATGGATGAACATGCCCATTACACACGCCTGAATCAGTGACTCTGACAGCACCGAGGGGCTACTGCCCTTGTGTTCATGGCTAAAACAAAAATTTGCATTTTTCCCATGCAAAATACATTGACTTTCCAGTGAAAAGCCAGACAGAAAATCAGCCTGTTCAGCTTGGAAATGCCAGCCGGGAGCTGGTGTCAGTAGATCTGGTCCTCTCCCTCCCCGTGGGCGAGGTGCCAAATGCAGGCAGCACTGAAAGCGGAGCCCTCCCCTCCCTCTGCAAGCCTGGAGCTGGGAGGTCCCTCCTGCACCAAACCACGGCAGATGCTATTAGTGGTTTACTGTTCTTGATAAAAAAAAAAAAAATTAAAAAAAAAAATTTAAATTTCCTTCATAAAGCAGATCCTTCTTGCAGAAAATCATCTAAAATACAAAAGCCCAATTTTCAGTTGAAAAATTGTTTTGATGGTTATTTTGAAGAGGCAGTAGATAGAAATGTTGTTTGAACATGATGAAAGCAAGATGTCCTTTTTGCCTTTGTGATTCCTTTAGAGACCTGTTTATAGTACTTCTTACAGAGGAGCTATGCAGGACAGGAGAAAAAGAAGAGATATTTGTAAATATTCGATATTTTCAGACAGGGGCACTGTAAACAAAATATGACTCATTTCCCGTTCTTTTCTGCTTTTGTGACGTTCTGTAGCTCCCGAACAAATTCTTTCAAACAGATGCCATGTGTTTTAGTTTCAAGTTACCTGCATCACAGATAAACTCAATGTCACCTGTCTTTATTCTTAAAATAACATATACCAGACATGCAAAAATCATGGATCTGAGGTTTAGCGTGCTTTACCCTAAAAGGTTTATCCCTCTGTTCAGCAACGCAGTTATTCCTGCTCTGTTGACCCATCTGTGTGGCCAATGAATAGGCTTTGTGAGGTCCAGGCCTCGTCCATGCCATCTTGTCAGGCTGCTTTGCATCCATCTGTCTGTGTTAGAGTACTTTTAATGAGGAACTAATACACTACTCATTCTCAAAGTATGTTTGCTTGGTAGGTTCTGCAAAGAAAATGGTGAACAAAATGGGGAAGAACAAATAAGTCAGAGGAATATCCCAGATCCTCTCCCTGTCTTGCCAGCCTCCAGTTTACAAAGACACACTTTGCTTCTTAGTCAAAGGTGCCAAGAGAAAAGGTGCTGCTGTCACTTGTAGAAGCGTGAAGACTTCTTTGGGCAGGTCAGCTGCTCGGAGGAAAATCTGAAATTAAAATATTTGTAATCTGGAGGTTGTTGAAGGACCTTTTCTCCTGCTAGCAGTAGTGCTGAGCCATTCATGTTTCAGTATTTTCTAGCTCAGCTTGTTCCTGAGCCCCATCCTCACTTGCTGTGCCAAACATTCCTCCTTCACCTCTGTCCCATCACACCCTCAAGCCCACAGCTCCAGAAACACCCTAGCCTAGACTCCAAGCCCCTGTGAAACTCTAGTGTGCTTTTCTGCCTGGCTCAAATCACTTGAGAGCTGATCCCTTTCCATGTCAGACCTAGTGCAGACAAGGGTCTCCACAAGTGTGAGGAGCACGTTTGGTTGCCCTCCCTATGGGCTGTCTGGCCAAAATGTGGTCTTGGTGGGAAAGCATCACAAACCTGTTTGAGGATCGACACCAGTGGTGCAATCAAAACGAATAACGAAGTACAAGAGAGGTCAGGGAGGATGACCTCTACATGAGCACCTTTGATGCAACACCTGTGGTAACCACAGAAATTATGAGGTTTTCAAATGGTTTTCAGCCACATTAGGAAGTCCAGATTCCTGAAGCTGAAGAGCTGAGTCTTGTTTTCCAAAGTTATTTTTATGGCAGCTCCTTTACCACAAACTACTGCCTGTTTAGGTGAGGTCTCTTAGTCATTCCCAGTGCAGCCCAACGCAGCTGGGACCTGGGATGCAGAGAAGGACGTAAGAGAGACTTATGCCACATCTGGCACAGCTGGTGAGGAAGGCTTTTGGTTCCTCCTCCTCCTCCCCAGCTTTCCTTCTCTTCT